TATTTAAAATAATTTTAATGAAAAAATAAAAAAAAATTAAATATATTATAATTGAAATATAACGAAGAGCTTCGTTGACTTATAATTTTCCTGATAGTTGAGGACTTATCGTAGTAAGCATTTTAACTTATGCATTGACTTGTTTATATCTCGGTTAGAGTAAAATTTTTATATTTTATTATTTATCCATTATATATTTGAAGAAAATTTTAGGGAAAACTTGATTTTATTGAATTAGTCTATTTTAATATAGAGTTTTTAAATAAGATTAGAATCTGATCGACGTTATAATGTTTTAAAATATAAGATAGGATACATTTCGGTTCAATAAAATGGGAATAATGAAGACAAATTATTAATTTAAAATATGTAAAATTATGCATTTCAATTATAACATATTAAATTCACTTTTATTTTAATTTTTGCATTAAATGTGATTTAAAATATAAATAAAACATAATCATTTATTAATCAATTATAATATTTGTTTATATATTTTTATATAGTCATACTAGTCAATTATTTCATGTTTGAGTCCTTATAAGGTCATTTATAACCATTAACTCTATTATAAATTATATAGATTATGTTATGTATGCTAAATAAATTTAGTGGTCTAGCTTAGTAGTTAGAATGCTCAGTTTTTCATCTTGCGTCCCAGGTTCTAACCTCACCACCAGCGATTATTGATTTAACTTATTTTTCGTTCATTAAATAAGTTTTACATCCAATCAAATGGTGTCACGTGTACCATTGGATCGAGAATTAAATTTATTCAATTAAATTAAAGTTATGACCAAATTAATAGAATGTGTAAGTAATGAGGGCTAAATGTGTAATTATACAAATTTTATTAACTGTCACTTCATTTTCTCCATTAATATTTAACGGTTGGTGGCTTGATTGACAAGATTTAAATAGTTAGGTGATTCGATTGACAAAATTAAGAATCGATGGTTAAAGTAAAAAGGGTAAATAATTAGGTGATCAATGATATAACCCTAAAAACTAATGTTTTATAAATATTGTATTTGAAATTATATTTAAATTTTTAACTAATTTATAATTATACGTTTAATACTTTATAATTTAATGATGTTTTATAAGTTATAATTTAATATTTTATAAATTAATTTAATGATGTTTCTGGTTAATTATACCCATCCACAATCGACGTGGTAGCATCATCTAATTTTATTAGTGTTACTTTCGTTATTCTAGACGCGAAATTTGGACAATATTTGTCCGATTCCTCCATATTTGTCAAGTATACTACCGTTTGTCTTTTCAATTTTTGCGTTAATTTTATTCATTTTCAATATTCTCTCCTTCACTTTCTCCTCATTTTACAATTACTCCAAATATTTGTTGCTTAATCATCATGGTGCACTCCAATAATGCCCCAAACTCTATTATCAAATACTATACAATGTCAATATTAAATTATAACGTTATTCGAATAATAATATTTTTAAAAAAGAAAAGATTACCCACACCGAAAACATTTCTAAAGATAGTTTGTTTAATCTTGGATTTTAATAAAAATCTTAGGTTGTCTTCGGGCTGAGTTTTGAAAAGCCTATGAGAGTTTAAAACTTGTTAAATTAAATAGCTTTAAATGTGTAATGGTTCAAACGGACAATATTGATGTCCTTAAACTCCTATCATCATCTTCTTCCAAGAGTCTTTATACTTTGGTGAGATTCTTCACTAACATTTGTAGTAACACTTGGCTCATTGAGATCTATTCGATCCTATGAACAACTAATGAGATGATTGACCACATGACCAAAATCGATTCCTTATCCGTTGAGACACACTATAATTTTGAGACATCTCCATACAATTTACTTAATGCATTACACAAATATCTCTATTATCTTTTTTACACGCATATAAGAGTATGATGTATCAGTTTAGATCTATTTTCATATTCAAAAAAATTCCCAAAAATAGGCAAAGAACAAGGGTTGTGCTGGGCTAGAGTATCTGACACTTGGGATATCATTTCATCGTGGGAAAACTGGTGATTTCAAGCTCACGTGCATGGAATCTAACATCAGCATCATACCCTATGCAGTAAAAAATAAATAAAAATCCTCAAGAAATGCTTATTAAATTAAATATTATAAAATCTGACATGTTATGGATAAACGTTAAGAATCGAGTGAGTTTCCTTTTTTTAATGTGTTCTTTTCGGCCGGAAGCCAAGTAGGGTTGTTTAACGGTGGGATTGAATGATGATTGCCAATTGACCCCATGATTAACGGTGTTGACGTTCGGGTGTAAATGCAAATTTGATTAGGGGACTTAGCCCTAACCCATCGCATGCATGCCCATAAATTGCGCTGTTATTATTATTATTAGCTTCCTCTTCGTCTTATCGAGTTGTGGGCAATGGAAAATTTTCAATTGGTAAAGATTTATTGTTGTTGTCAGGCAAAAGTGCAACGGCTAGTAGGTGATGACGTGGAAGGAGACAAGATGTCACGTCAGCTCAGAGAACCCTACAACTGTGTGACTAGGATCACATTAACCCATGACTATATTATTGGTGGAAACATATCTTTAAGATCCTTTTGCCTTTAAATTTTGTTAAATTAGTCCTTATTAATCTCAAAAGTGAGATTATCAATTAGACACTAACAAATTCAATCGTCAATGTTTATATATGATGTTAATTTGATCGTGAGATTAAAAGCTTCGACAATTGAGTAAAATTAATACTCCAAAGCATCCGACTTCAACTATATTACTCAAGGTCGACCCTTCAATACTCTACATCATCTGTTTGATTATCTAATCTTGACATGATTCCTCGTAGGCTCACGCGATCCGTCAAATTCAAATCTATTATTAAGTGACCATGTCTTTTCAATTTGACATTATAAAATCTTTTAATCAAAACAAAGGAAGAGGCCTTTTTGACTTCTTTTTCATTTGGATCATTTTCTTCTTATATACAAAATCAGACGACGTTAACCATCTAAACATTCATCTTTAATCATTGATTATAATTCTTTGTGTAAATCAAAAAATGAACCATCTATAATTGTTACTTCCCAAATATTATCCTCACTAATACTAAAATCATATATATATTTAATCCAATTCCTGCATCCTGCTTGAGATACATGTACTCATTACCATAACCTTTTTTCACTACTAGGATTATGGTAAACTTTCATAAATTACACGATTTTAGTTCATAAATATCAGCTTAGCACTTAATTAAGCATAATCTCGGGTGGCTTTAGTTATGAAACGGTCCGGTTCCAGATGTAAGGTTAAATGCAATAACGTTTTCTTATTGCCACACACACAAAAAGAGGGAACTTTTGGACCGTTGATTTTCATTGGAAACTACACGACGCTGCGCCGATTTTAGCCCGTTTATATTTAGCCACGTGGCAGGCCGTATTACGGGGGCCCACGCGATTCTCTTTTTGTTGATGGGATTCAAGGTGGATGGCGCAGCGGCCACCTTTCACGCTTTTGGTTTTGGTTTTTCTTCGTTTCCATAATTGCCCTCTCCTGGTAATTAGATTTTTTTAAATAGCGTTTGGTTCATATGAATCCGCGTTTGGTTAAATCCATAATTCTTGAATCAAACATCACTTGAGTGTGCAGTCATACCATAGGAAAGTCGTACTTTGGGGCAAATCAGTAATATGTGTAGGACATTGAAGGGTATTTTAGGAATCATGTGACACGCAGCGCCGCGGTGGGGGCGGGTCTCTAAAGCAACGAAGCGTTCCGTTCCGTGTTGAAAATCAGTTCTACCTCATATATTATATATTTATTTAGCTCTGATTGATTTAATTAAAAAATAAAATTTTATAGATAATGTTATTTAAATTCACATAATTGAACTATTAAAAAATAAAAAATAAAAATCACATAATTGTAAGATAACATCACTTTATGTCAACTAGGATAATTTTATTGAATACTGGACTAAATCTACAAATAAATTTAATTTTTCTTAGTGTATTATTCTTTTGAATTTACAAGTATATGAATCAATCATTATTACATAGATTGAAGGGAAAATTAATTGAAGATGATAGAATTTAAATCAAAATAAAATTTATAGACATTTCATGTATGACTTACGTAGATCTGAGTCAAATTTAATACGTAACATCATGATAATTCAATTTCTATCGACTCTTATAATGTCTCGTTAGCTTCTTAATTTAAATTTAAATTTTAAAAGAAATGTTTTCATTAAGCCCCAAAAGTCCTAATGATCATTATCTTAACCCCTAATGATTTACATTTATCACACTTTCTTGGCATTGCTCAGTGCTCACTATCGTCATTGTTCACTTTTTTATTATTATTCTATACTTATAATTATTACAAGTTTTGACAATCTACACTCACTTTCCAAGCTTCAAAGTTCAATTTTCAAGCTTTGGAAGCCTTGAAAGAGAGGTAAAGTGTCCTTAATGAGCTGTATTTAACAAGTTGACCCTTTCTTATACTTTAAAGCATATCTATCATTCTGTATATATATTGAATCCAATTTTATATCTTTAATTAATTTTTAATATAAAAAATTAAATCAATATTAAATTTTAGATTTGATCTTAAACAATTTATTTATAGTAAAAAAATTAAAACATGAAAATTAGAAAATAAAATTAGTCTTGTAAAGGACTGTGATAAGTTGGTATTGGAAAGTATTTTTTTTTTGGATAATTGGAAAGTAATATTGAATGGACAAATACAATAAGAAATTAGAAAAAACAGGAATACTCAAAGTAATTTTTCTTTTAACTTCATTTGAAATTATTAATATAAAATTGTTTATTAACGTTAAATTACTGGAAAATAAATAAATAAATAAAAACAAGCATTTTTGTTTTTAGGACATGCTTGCAAAAGGGTTCATGCCTACTGACCATGTCCTGAAGTCTGAGTTCGTCCGACTCTACTCTGATTTCTCAAACCTCCTTTTACCAAACCATGAATATTTAAGACCCAAATTTATTATTTTTATTTTTATTATCAATATTATTCCTTTCTTCTTCTTCTTCTTCCTTATTACTCATTTCTTTCTCTTATATAATCTCTACTTTCAAAGACCTAAAATTTTACAGCCAAATTCCAAGAAGCAAAAAACCAAAAACATGGTGATGAAGTTATATTATCTGGGTTATTCTTTGTTTTTGGTTTTGGCTCTGGTTTCTGTTCTTGCTTCTGGGTCTGAAAAAGGGCTCCCGATTCTTACATTCGATGAAGGGTATAATCAGTTGTTTGGAGATGATAATCTAGTTTTACATAGAGATGGTAAAGCTGTTCACTTGACTTTGGATGAGAGAACAGGTTTGTTTCTTTTTAGCTGTTTTGTTGTTCCCCCCTCTTTATTGTTTCATTAAAATCACAGATATTTGTTTTGATGGTGGTGGGGAAAAAACAGGGTCTGGATTTGTTTCTCAAGACCTTTACTTGCATGGTTACTTCAGTGCTTCGATCAAGTTGCCTGCTGATTATACTGCTGGAGTTGTGGTTGCATTCTATGTGAGTTCATCTATGTTCTTGATTAATCCTTTTTAATAATCTCATGGTTGCTGTTTAGTGTTAATTAATCTTTTTTTTAAAATTATGATAGTGATTAAAATTCTGATCAAGCTAATTAGACTCGATGAGTTTGTCACTGTTTTTCTTCAAAAAAAATCCCAGATTTCTGTTCATGAATGCGATCAAAATCCACATGGATATGACTATGAACATGTTAAAGTTGTCTCCGTTGATTGAAATTTATGATAAATTCCAGATAGTTTTCCCTTTCCCCAATATGTATATTGCTGCAGAGATTTTCATTTTCAAGGAGACGACTTCTGGAAAATAAATTAAATGAATGTCCTAAAAAGGGATTCTTCTTTTATTGATAACAGATGTCAAATGGTGATATATTCGAGAAGAACCATGACGAAATAGATTTCGAGTTCTTGGGTAACATCAGAGGTAAAGATTGGAGAATTCAGACCAATGTTTATGGCAATGGAAGCACCAATGTTGGCAGAGAAGAAAGATACAATCTTTGGTTCGATCCTGCTGATGATTTCCATCAGTACACCATTCTCTGGACTGATTCTCACATCATGTAAGCATCGAAAATCTATGCCCAAGTAACTCGTATTCAATGAACATGGATACCGGAATATTACGCTTTAAAGATCCTCCGAATACATGTGTTGAGACTCGCATCTCGAGTCCGAATATCATAGGCTCTCACCATCTCATTCTGTCCTATGATCCTGCTGATGATTTCCATCAGCTCGCCATTCTCTGGACTAAACATGTAAGCGTCGAAAATCTATGCCCAAGTAACTCGTATTCAACGAACATGGATACGGGAATATTACCCTTAAAGATCCTCCGAATACATGTGTCCAGACTCGCATCCCGAGTCCGAATATCATACACTCTCACTATCTCTCCTATAATTTGTTGTCGTGTTCCTTTCCATTTTCCACTATAGGTTAAATCCTTTAGTTTTCATCTCTGCTCCAACCACAACAATTTTTAACCACTGAAATGTATGATTAGCTGTTCTGAAGAGTATGGTTTTGATGTTGATGTTTCTACTGTAATGTAGGGTTGGGTTTCTTATTTTGGTATGTTCATTATATTACACAATGTGAACTCTGGTTTTTTGCTTCTAATGGCATCCCCTGTTTCATCCCTCAGGTTTTTTTTTCTTATAATAGCATAACTAAATTGTCCATTTATCGTGAATGAGTGTCGGATACGTGTACGTATTTGACATGGATATGTTTTTGTTTTTGCAGATTTTATGTAGACAATATCCCCATTAGAGAGTTCAAAAGAACAGCTGCAATGGGTGGAGATTTCCCCTCCAAGCCAATGTCTTTGTATGCTACAATATGGGATGGATCCGATTGGGCTACCAATGGTGGCAAATATAGAGTCAATTACAAATACGCTTCTTATGTAGCTGAATTCTCCGATTTGATCCTTCAAGGCTGTGCGGTTGATCCGATCGAGTTTTCGTCAAAGAGGTGCGACAACGTTCCAAGTCGGGAAAAACTCATGACCAGAAGCAAGATGGATAGCTTTAGGAGGAAGCACATGACATACTCCTATTGCTATGATCAAACCAGATACAAAGTCCCTCCTCCCGAGTGCTTGTTCAATCCCCAAGAAGCTGAGCGACACAAGAAGTTTGATCCGGTCACGTTTGGAGGAGGTAGGCGCCACCATGGGAAACGAAACCACCGCATCCGAGCAGGCCGGTCCGAGGCTGATTCCATTTAATAAAAATAAGACCCATCATGATTTAGTTGGGGGGGGATCAGTTTTGTGTATAGAGAGAGGTGACAGCAGATATACAAACGTATATTCCACGTGTTTTTAGGTTTCCCAATCCATTTTTATCATTTATGTTACCTCTCTATAGCTTTTACAGATTGGGGTCAATAAAATACTTTTTTTCCTTCTAAATTAGAAGTTACATCTTCTGTTACTTATTTATTTAACTCGATAAAATATATCGAGTAATACACAAATTATTTAAAAAATAATTTATCAAACTCTAAAATATAAATATTCAATAAAAAAACGAAGTTTAGTTTTTGATTGTAGCCACCGTTTAAGACCATACACATGATTGCGTGATCTCTAAGCCATTTTTGCTCTTCTTGCCCTAAATCTCTAGTTTTCTTTTAAAAAAGGTTTCTTTGGCACACACGTTCGTGTGTTGAACCACTGTAGCTTCACACGCACAACACAAGCAAAGACTCATTTTCCCCCAGATCTGACTAAACTAGCCTACCCCAATTTCAATATTTTATTTCGTCATTGCTTTCTCTCCTTACTCACCGACACCCTTTTCCCATTGCGAATCTTCCATTAGATCGGGTTAAATCCAGCAAACAAGGAAATAAAAGAAACTCATTTGTTTTTTGTTTCACGGAATTGTTTTAAAGTCGAGTTATTTAAGAGTTACCGTGATCCGATTTGATTTTAAGGGATTTATATCAATTAGATCCAGATTACGGGTATTTTAGCTCATATATGCTCTTTTAGTAGTCTGGGTTTATTGTTGGATTGAATTAGGGAGATTTTTTCTCTCTCAATGGCAATGCCATCGGGAAATGTAGTTTTATCTGATAAAATGCAGTTTCCTGCGCCTGCAGCTGCCGGATCTGGAAGTGGCGGCGGTTCTGGTGGAGTCGTAGGTGGTGTTGGTGGAGGTGCAGGTGGAGGAGAGATCCATCAGCACCAACTCCGGCAATGGCTCCCCGATGAGCGTGACGGCTTTATCTATTGGTTGCGAGGGGAATTCGCGGCGGCCAATGCTATGATTGACTTCCTCTGTCAACATTTGCGTGAGATTGGTGATGTCGGAGAGTATGAAGCCGTCGTAGCTTGCATTCAACAAAGGAGATGTCATTGGAACCCCGTGCTTCATATGCAGCAATACTTTTCGGTTGCTGAAGTTTCGCAGGCGCTTCAACAGGTTTTGTGGAGACGGAGACAAAGGCATTATGATCAAGGGAAGGTTGGGGGAAAGGAATTTAGAAGATCCGGCATCGGGTTTAAGGGGCATAGGATGGAAGTGGCTAAAGAAGTGCAGAATTCTGGGGTGGATAGCAATGAGAATTCGACTGTCACCGCAGTTTCGGACAGGAACGAGAAAGGGAGTGAGGAAGTTAGACCGACTGGTGGAGTTGCAAAGACGGAGGATAAGGGCACGTCCTCGGTTGTCACAGAGGATAAAAAAGGTAACTACTTGGCTCATGTTTCTTTTTCACATGTTTTACATACATTGTGGTGAAATTGAATGATGTATTATATTGTTAGCTCGATATGTTTGGTCATCTGTTTGTGATGGAGACGAGTAGAATTTGTATTTACTTGCTTAAAAAGCACGGTGTTTCTGTATATGCCTGCTATCTTGGATTAGGCAAATTATCCTAAACTAGAAAGTAATAGTTTGTTTTTTGGTAAATTTTCTATTAAAATTGAAGGATTTTAAAGCAATGTTTTTTAATTGGAAATTGCTATCACATTCCATATTTGCTAATTGGAATATTCATATACCTACATACCTAACTAACAGTTGGGGATTGTTAAAAATATATAAGAGGCACGCATTTAATTAACTTGTTTGCAATCTTGGAGAGGATGAAAATTCATACTTTATTACCAAATCTTGTAGAGGGTAAATAACTTGGAGTGTCATGTTGTGAAAAGTGTTTGTTTGACATACTTTTATCTTTTAAGGTATCCCAATAGAGACTTTATAAATTCAGTTAGAATTGTATTTTGGCATGGGACATTTTATATCAGTTCCGAAGGCAATCATCCTGCTTTTCCCTCTAGCTTCCAAGGAATTTTTCTTTTGTTCTTGGCGAAGGTTCTTTTGATTCATTTTAAGCTTTCTTTGTGATACCACATTGGCTAATAATCTTTAACTCTTTCATTGTAATTATGTATCGTACTCAGATTTTAGTGCCAAAGCTCATGCTGATAATACAGAACCCGAAACTCAGGATGTAAATGGAGGATACACATCAAGCTATAAAGGTACCACCTTTTACTTTTGTCATCGGTTACCTTTGAGCTCTTAGAAGATCCTGAACTTGGAAGCTTCTCTATGTATGAGTATCAAGTGCACATTTAAGGTTCATTTGATTCTTTTTTGGGCCAAGACTTGAACCTTTCCAAATTTATTTGTCCATTTTTAGAAGAAAAAATAAAGAAAACCATCTCTTTCTAGGAAGGGTGAGAATTAACTGGGTAAGGTATTTAGCTATTGCACGTTGGATTCAATACCTTCACCATATGTTGAATGCTTGAACTCATATTTCAGGTTTTCTGAATAATTCCTTAGCGGTTTAACACTAATTTCACTATGTTCTGTCATATTAATATTTTTTTTTTCTATAAATGATCTTTTAGGGAAAGATTTACATTCCTTCCAAAATCAGAATGGAAAGGAGAATGCTATGGCTCCAAAAACTTTTGTTTGCAACGAGATGTTTGATGGAAAAATGGTAATTCTTTAGAATTGTTATGATGATATTTTGTGAAATTCTGGATGAATAAATAGCTTCTTGCTTCTCTCTTTCCCCCACCCCCTTCCTCCCCTACTGTTTCAACTTCTTATAAGCCTGTATTTTTATGTTAAGGTCAACGTGGTGGATGGGCTAAAATTGTACGAGGAACTGTTTGATGAGAAGGAAGTTTCAAATCTTGTCTTGTTGGTAAATGATTTAAGGGCCACAGGGAAAAAAGGACAACTTCAAGGCAAGTAATCTTGCAAGTTCATTCTTTTTCTTGGTCTAGCTAGAAGGAAAAACTTTCAAAAATGACATTTGTTCCTTGGAAACTTATACTTGTTGGTTACTTTTATCTATAGAGTCGATTTTTCAAATTTCTGATGCAATGAGAATGGAAAGAAATAGGAATAATCAATTCCACATAAAGAAAAGTTCATATTTAGTTATGTGATGTATCCTTTACACGAGTCACCTATTTAGTGTGGAATGATATCTGAGCTGTTATTCCTTTGGACTTATGTTTTAAATGCATGCATGGGTTGACCATATGAGTGGTTGGTCAAAAGGGCTCATAGCTTGGCTATCCTATTGGCAAACATGATCTTCTGACCTTTATGAAATTGTATTTTCTCACTAGTTTGTTTCCGAGTAGAACTAGACCATGATCATTGAATATAGGTCTCAAAATTGAGCTATTTGCAGGTTGGGTCAATCTTGTGTTATGTAGTTAATATTACAGGCCTACAGCATCTCCTGCACTAACTCACTTTACCTGCATACTGTAAATCTTGCTTCATTTTGTTTATCTATTACTATTATTCTTGGCTCTTGCATGCTATACCTTCTTGGAACGGATAGAAATTGAAGGTTATTTTATGTTTGGCTCCATTATAACATGTAGGTTTTTCTCTATTCTAGCACTTTCTAACGAGCATAATATCAATTGCCTGGGATTAACATGATGAGTACATTGTTTATTATAATGACAAGACAAAAAAGTGTTAGAAAAAGGACATCTTGGTGGCGGGCATCGGAAAACTCTGTTTCCTTGAACCACTTGTGAGGGTATACATAGCTTAGCTTGCGTGTATCATTGAATAATAAGAGAGGTGAATAATCGACGACTTTTCATGATGATCACGGTGTCTGCCTGCATGTAAATTGACCGATGCATGTTTATTTTGTTGTATAAACCTCAGCTTAGAACTTAGTTCTGTAGGGCCGTCATGATAATTAGCCTATAAAATTGTATTAGAGTCTTGCTTAGGTTGGAATTTTTAACTGTTTAGCGTGGTTTCCCTTACTATGGTGCAAGAAACTTACTTATGTTGAGTTAAGCTATCCTAACTGCCAAAAGAAAAGTGTTTACAACATGATAATATTGGAAAATAAGACCTAGACAAGCCGAAAAGGACTAACAGAATAGCTGGTTCCCTTTTACTTCACATTTGTTTGCATTCTGGTATCAGTAAAAGCTGAATTGTTAAGTAATACTTTACGAGAAGCAGGTCAAACATATGTGGCTTCAAAAAAGCCAATGAAGGGACATGGTAGAGAGATGATCCAGTTGGGCCTTCCAATCGCCGATGCACCTCTAGATGATGAAACTGCTGCAGGGACTCCCAAAGGCATGTTTCTGTGAAGTGCCTTCCCCCATCCCCCAAACACACACATGTTCAAAGAAAGTAACTAAATACATATTTATTTAACGACTGATAAATGCTTTTAAAATTCTCTATAAAGTATCTATACATCAATTGCATTCTAATTTGATTGAGCTTTACCAGAGCGGAGAGTCGAAGCCATTCCCTACTTGCTGCAAGATGTTATTGAACGTTTGGTTGCCTTGCAAGTTATAACTTCAAAGCCGGACTCTTGCATCATTGATATATATAATGAGGTAGGTAATGATGGTGCTTCTGGTGGTTTTGCATGAAATGAGCCAAGGTTAATACTAATACTAGGTTTTTCTTTTCAAAATTCAAGGGGGATCATTCACCGCCTCACATATTACCACCTTGGTATGGGAAACCTGTTTGCATCATGTCCTTGACCGAGTGTGATGTTACGTTTGGAAGAGTAATTGCATTTGATCATCTTGGGGACTTTAGAGGCTCTCTAAAGCTTTCTCTTGCACCGGGGTAATTATTTAACTGTTTTCTCTCGATCCTATCACTTTCACAACCCTTCAATGTGCTTGGAGAACAGTGCATGTTTAAAAATAATATCTATATAAATTTTTCCTGTTTACATATTTTGATCATTTTCCTAATATTATCTGTACCATAACTATCATGCAGTTCTCTCCTTATGATGCAAGGAAAATCAGCTGATTTCACCAAACATGCACTTCCCTCCGTCCGAAAGCAACGTGTACTTATCACGTTTACAAAGTATCAACCAAAGAAATTCATGACTGACAACCAGAGGCTTCCCTCATCTTCGGGTTCTCAGCCTTCAAAATGGGGTTCGCCACCTAGCAAATCACCCAATCATTTTCGCCCTTCTGCCGGTGCCAAGCCTTATACAGCAATACTGACAACGGTGGTATTCCCAGCCACACTAAATCGCCCACAAATTCCTCCTCCAAATGGTGTTCAACCTTTATTTGTGCCCGCTCCAGTTTCTCCTGCGATACCTTTTCATGCTCAGGTTCCTATACCACCTGGATCAACTGGGTGGCCGGCTCCTCCTCCAATGCATCCTTCACCTCGCCTACCTATCCCTGGCACTGGAGTTTTCCTTCCTCCACCAGGCTCCAGTAATTCATCAGCGCAGGAGTTAACCACTGCAACTGAACTCAATGTCCCGGCAGAGACAACTTCCCAACTAGAAAAAGAGAACTGCATTGGGAAAGCCAATCTTCATACAACTTCAACTAATGGGAAGTTGGATGAAAAATCTCCGAAACAAGACTGCAATGGAAGTGAAGACGGAACTGGCAATGGGATAGCCGTGAAGGAAGAACAACAATGTGCCGATAATAATGTCGAGCAAACCTGCTAGTAGTTCAGTTCAGAGAAAGAGGGAAAGGAAAGGAGGTAGCCAGGTAGGCTCTGAACTGCAACAAGTTTAAGGAGCGGCAACATTTGAGACTTACATGTTTTTTTTTTTTTGGTTATCTTATTATATGAAAGCACACGCTAGGTGGATACTCCATATCCTTAATTTAACTTTGGTTCTTATTATATCTGGTTTACAAGTTTTGTTACGAAATTATTTGTAGGCTACTCTGTGAGACTGAATTCCCCCTTTCAAATGTATACAGGGACTAAGAGCAAAATTAGACCTATTAAAATATAGAACTATATTCCAGAGTTCATCCGAATATTCCCTGGAATTATACCTTTGAAAGACGTAACTGACAACTGGAAATACTGCAATTATACCTTTGAAAGACGTAACTGACAACTGGAAATACTGCAGACATTCAATCATCAAACCCAGAATATAATTTTTTTGAAGGATCAATCAGTTTCATGCTTCTGGTTCTCTTCTTTGTTTATTTTAATTAACAAACGAAATCCACTAATTAATAAATGCTTTGCTGACTAATTTTCTCCACAACAATCCCTCATGAATCATGCTTGTGATATCATTCATTAAATAAATTCTAAATTTATGTTGACTAGTCTCTTGAAAATAAAAGCACAAGGACTAAATTCTAAACTTAGAAAGAATACGTGGACTTGAAACATATTGTAACCTATAATAATAACGGAGCCTTAAGTCCAACTAACGTGCCGTGAACAAATTCCTTTGCCTTATGAGTCTAGGGTATTAAATTTAATTATCAAACTTAATTATTACATAAAACCCTACCGTTTAAGTACATGCTAATAGTCATCACTGAGACAGATAACCAAACACTTGGAGCATGAAGCAACATAGCTTAACTTGCAAATCAACCCACATAATCTTAATTTCACAATCAATTACAACAAAATAAAAATTTAGTTTAATTAAAAAATAACATCCAATTAACAGATTTAAAATTCGTATCTTAACATCAATACCGGAAAATTAAATACATAGTTAAATATTATCAACATTAACAAATTTTCTTCCTTTGGTTGCTTAGATAGCCAAAGAAAGTTGTTTGGAAGTGCTCCATTTGTGCAGAACATCACCAAAAACATCATAGAATTTAATGTGGAGTTCTGTCTGAGTCATCTCCACCGACATGAAACCTTGTCCATCATGATAGAGTTTCATTTCTTGTGGATTATTCCAAGTACCATCATCTCCCCTCCATGCCCTTGACCCCCCTCCACTTGTCATGAATTGAATCCCACTAGGACCACAATCACACACTTTCAGTATAATAATACATATACATACATACTACGTACGTATACGAATGTATGCATGCATGCATGTACCTCTCGATGCTGCTTATATGCTGTAAGCAATGGTCATGCCCATTGATGTAAAGATCAACATCGTATGCCCGAAGAAAAGGAAGAAGATGAACGGCAAGCTCATGTGTGTTCCCATGCTGTCCAGCACTTTTGATTGTATGGTGTCCCACTACTATCTTCCACTTTGCAGTCGAATCTCTTAGACCCGATTCCACTTCCTATATAAAAACGTCACCACCTTATCGAAACTACGATGTTTATATTCGATACATATTCAGATATGAATCATATGATATTTTACCGTTAAGAGATTGTTGAGGTAATTCTTTCTGGGTAATATGCCGTTCCAGTCATAAACATGTTCTTCTGAATCAGTGAAGTAGTTGGACACGAATGGTGTAGTGTCTACAAAGAAAAATTCTGCCATTTCTGCCAATAAATAATGAGAAAAAATGTTAAAAATGTTAAAATAAATAAAACATATAAATAAATGTAAAAGCTTAATTACCAGGTCCAGCATTAAGGATGAAAGATCGTAAACAAAGCCATCTGCCATCCATCTTTCTAAGGATGGGGCTCAATTGAGCCTCAACGTTTCCCCTGTAATCATGATTACCCAACACTGCAACCAAAACAATTTAATTAAGATTACTGTGATGATACTATTTTTATTAAAATAAGTTAAGATATTGTAAAAGTCGAGAGATTAAATTGAAAATACGTTACGAGAGAGAAGGTGATTGAAGATTAGTACCAGTGTACCATTGTTTTTGCAAGCTGGGAGCTGTATATATATCAGTGAAGGATTCGTGGAATGCCGGATCGTCGACGCCTGTCAATCCGTTTTCGTAAAAGTTATCTCCGGTTGAGATTACGAAGTCGATATCTAATTTCTCTCCGATTACTCCCATCTGCAACACACATATGATTTTGTGTTAATCATGAATAATTTAATAAACATTGATTACGTTCTTCATAAAATAGTTTTAAGAGAGAACAGAGAGTAGAAAACAAAGACCTGAAGAGCAACTAGAGATTGGTTATAGAGTCCTCTTCTTCCCCAGTCTCCGAGCACCAAGAATCTTAGCGACCCGTCTGGTTTCGCGGTGTGTTCAAAGCGTTGAAGCTCCGCCACACACGAGACGACGAACAACCCAAAAATCAACGTGAACACAAGCGTTCGCTCCATAGCTTTCTCTTGGTTGAAACTTTGGAGAAAATGAAAAACAGATCAGAAAGCGAGATGCGACTATGGAATGGAATGCAGACAGGGTATTTATAATACGAATGTTTTTAAAAAAAAATAAAAACAAACTAAAGATTCTAGGCTAACATTGCGTATAGTAAAACAAATGAACAAAGTTGCCCATAAATCACCAAATAATGTAGTTAACCTGATTGTAAGACTTACTTAACAAAACGAAACTGTAAGGTCTAAACCAGTAATTATCCCTTTCGACCCCCAAATTGTACACATATAACTTTATTCAATATGTTAGGGTTCATATTCCTTGATAATTAAGATAGCCACGTTTTTCGCTTGATGATTTCTTTTAAGGAAAATTAACTTAGCTAGTAAGGATGGCGAGATTAAGATTATTTCAGTAAAAATAATCGAGCTAAAAGAAATAAAAAAATTTAAGAGTTAAAATGATAAAATTAATAAAGTTAGAGGATCAAAAGAAACCCGAGTGCTTGAGCTTCTGGCTTGCTTCATGCATGTAAAACCAGGTTTAGTTATGCAGCAATCAGCAGGCACATGGCTGATGGCATCGGCACTGTGTCTGTTCATGGGGTCTCACTTCACATGCCTTTCCCCACAAGCCATAACGACGTGCATGATGAATCACATCCAGGATGCATTTAATACTTAATTTACACCATTTTTGGATTCATTTTGATTATGTTGATGTTTATTATAATTAAAAAACGAAAACGACGTGCATGACGCATGTAAATGACTAATAATAAGAGGTTGTAAAGCATAGTGTTATCCTATCCAGTATCCGCTTCCATGGGAGAGATTCACTGAAACCTGCTGCAATCAGTATGATACTCTCAGCGCTTATCCAAATCTTGGGAACCCTGGTTTCCTACAACCTACCAACAGATAATCCCCAGAAAATAGTTAAATATTGAACAATGATATGAGGCTACTCAACCACTGCAACCGTCAGCCAACACTATATTGTTTTATATAATATCATTTGGACGATTCTGCCGAATATGGATGGATATCACAGAACTGTCTGATTGCCCATCCTGTTATTTTCAAATAAAGTAGGCTCCAATAATGTAGCCACTGGTTTTGCAGAGTTGGCTTTATCATGATTATCCACTTTGATTGAGCAGTGACCACTGTCCAATGCTCATTTATGTAAAGATCAGTATTATTGGCCTCAAGTTTTGGATAAAATTGAGTGTTATTTGGTAATTTGATTTTATGTTATGCTTTGTAAGTAATCCATTTGAAAAAGGTATAAAGTAGATGGTTGAACCATACTCAAACGATTGTTTTAATTATTGAAATTTTAAACATTACAAAATGTTCATTTAACTATAATAAAATTTAGGTTACACAGGGATTGAAATTAATTATAAATTCGGAGATAAAATTAGAAGATTCAAAAATTTGATAATCAATTTGAATGAAATTAGGAGTCGTTTGGTTGGAAATGTTTTTCCCGTTTTCTTGTGTTTGGTTCTCGTAAAACACGATGGTCAACGTATTTTGTTTTACAGTCAACGGAACAGTGAGAGAAAAACACGGTAAAATGACTTACCGTTTGGAGAAGGGTAAGTAGATTTCCATTGTTCTCGCGTCCCTTGCTCCACATAGAAAACAAATTTGTTCTCCCGTCCCTTGCTCCACACCGGAAAATCGATCGATCCAGTGGCCTCCTTCTCACCGGCGAGGCGGGCGATTCCGTGTCGTTAAGACCCCCGGTAAGTCTTGAAGTTCCAAAAATGATGCCGCTTCGGCTGCTCTGTTGTCGTTTTTTCTTTTCCAAGTATTTGCATGAAAATAATGATGGGTTTCTTTTTTAGAAGGTGGGAAATTGGTTTGTCAGACTACTAAGAAGAGAGCAAGTGGGCCTAAGTGCCCTGTTACTGGAAAGCGAATTCAGGGTGTAAGTTCTTTCACTTTTTTTTTTTTTTTTTTTTAAGTTGGAATTTTTAGTTCGAAATTTCATTTTTTTATTGTTAGGTTAATCAAGTAGGTGTGAAATGTAGATACCCTTTTGTTTATTTGGTTGCTGAAAATGATGATATTGTTATGTTCATTTTTCATGTTTGCTCTTGGAACTTTCTGTTTCGAATTAAACATTTATTAATGATACAGTTGAGCTTTCTTCTCTTTTTATACTTTTATGTTCTAAGCTCTATAGAATGTGAAATACTAGTCATAAATGAGATTTCTACTTTCTTTTGAGCTTAGTGTTGAAGTTGATAGCTTACTATGTTTAACGGTTTGAATTCCAGAAATACTGGTGTGTTTGTAAAAAATAGGAAATGGGGCTAAATGTTGATCATTGTAGTCATTTTTATTTGTTCACGGTGGAATGCTTTATTGCATATCAATATGAAGCAGTTTACGAACTGTGGTTCTTGATTTTATTATACTTGTTGTATAGCTTGTAGAAATGTAAAACCTTTTTTCAGTATAGGATGTTTGGGTTTGTTTTTTTAAAGCTATGACATATTTATTTTACATTTTGAGTGGTTATTTTATGATTCTCTCTGAATATGTGGTTGATTGAACTCAAGCAGCAAGGTTTTGAGCTTGTTCTCATGGCTTTCTTATACAACTTCTATGCAGATTCCTCACTTGAGGCCTGCTGAATACAAGCGATCGCGATTGCCTAGGAACCGAAGGACTGTGAATCGTGCCTATGGTGGTGTTTTGTCAGGCAGCGCTGTTAGAGAAAGGTACAACTAATTGCATTATTTACCAACTGATAACTGGTTATTGATTGTTTGTTTGAGGCAATTGATGATATTCTTATTTATATCTTCCTGTTTTTTATTATCCAAGGATAATCCGGGCCTTCTTGGTTGAAGAACAAAAGATTGTGAAGAAGGTTCTCAATATCCAGAAGGCAAAGGAAAATCAATCCTCAAAGAGCTAGAAATTTTATTGCTGATGAAAGCCGAATTGTGTTTGGTTTGTTGGACTTTGCCTGTTAGAAATTCTTTTTTGTTATCATGGTGGTTGATGAAAATGTGGAACCGAGTTTCTATTTATTTCCTATTAGTTAGTTTCTTACTGACCAGTTTGCTGCTTGTTCACTTGACGATAAGTTATCGTTTAATGATGGTGTTATTTTGTTGACGTGGTTTCTTTTATTAGGCACTAATCTTGCTTCTGTTTCTTCCTTGAACCCTGATGTGTCAACCCCTGATTTTGAATCTCCAAACCCTAAACCCTGGTTTTAGGTGTTTCGAGTCAACTTTAGCAAAAAGAATCTTCAGTTCTGGTTTGAGTTTCGATCATTGTAGACCGTTGCTCGGCCCGTGAAGGTTTGAATTGGTCTTATGTTTGATGGTATGGAGACAACACATTTGTTTAAGCCCTACTCCACCCTAAATGTGAACATTAAATCTATTTTTTTTCTGGTAAACTCTATTTTTCAGATATAATATCCTTGTACAAACAATACATATAACAAGGAATATGTCAAACCACCCTTCCAATATCATCCTATTTAATATGTTTACTTGAATTGATCTTTGATTGAATAGTTTTTTGTTAATTTTACACATTACCAGCACAATAAGTTCAGATTTCTATTCAAATCCTTTAGAGTAAAACCTTCTTTATTATAATTTTGATGCCAAATTTTAAAATAATTATTCTTTAATTGATCATTATTTATTTATGTTAATCAGATCTTTAATGTACTGATAAAAGATTATTTATTCACAATTAATATTAAATCTCGCATTAAATTTTGTATAATTATTTTCCATTTTTTAATTGAATATATTAATTTATTAATATTTCCCCTTGGATAAGGAAGAGGGGCAGATTCATGACTAGGTAATTACTACATGATTAAATATTCAACAAGTAATATTTTTATTTTTAATCAATTATTAATATTATATCAAATAAACCTACATAATATTAATTAAAAACAGATTCTAAAAACTGTTTTCAGAAAAATTAACCAAACAGTGTAAAACATTTTACAATGTACCATCTAAACACTGGAAAATATTTTCTAGAAAATGATTTACATTCCTGTAAAAGATTTTCCATATTTCATTTTCCGAAAACTATTTTTAATGAAACAAACAGAATGTTTAAAATTTTAAAGATCAATTTAAAACAAATGACGACATAGAACATATGATGTAATTAACTTCTAATGATCATGTTATAATAATTGGGTTTTTTTTCACCGGCCCTAAGGTACTTTATTGCTATGCCCTCGTCATCGAGGTGTCTTTTGGGGCAACTCTTGATGGTTTTTGCACTTTTTGGTTCTACGACTAACAGAGTTATATATCCATATTTTAATACATTTTGGGTTCTTAAGTCTTAACCATGGCTTCCTGTTCCATGATATTGGACCCATATACACAAATTGGTTTTTTTAGTTAGGTTGATTATAAGGTATGTCAACAATGCATACACTCCTGCTGATATAATTGTTTAAACCTAAAATTTTTAAGAAGAACAACACTCATCTAACTATTGAGTCACTTGATAGGTTCGATATTAACTTTCTTAAGGGCATGTAATGGGACATGTTTACTGTTGATGCAACATTTAATTGATGAAGTATTTAAGGTAACAAAACCTTAATAAACTTGCTAATTCCATGCATACAAGCAGTACATTCAAAGAGAAAAAGGTAACAACATGGAAATCAAACATAAAAAACTCTACGAAAACAACTTCAGGGAGCAGAATTCTCAGCTTCACATGCGGCAGTTGCCGTTCCTTTGAGGTAACACTTCTTGTTATTGTTCAACCACGTCTTGAACGTTAGCCTGCTAACACCGATCCGCTCGCAGAACCCGTTGATCTCCTCGTGTCTACTTTTGTTCCGCATGCTCCACCCAAGGCTCTCCGCGAATTCTCTCATTGCCTCTTTCTGTTCCGGACTGAACTTCGATTTCCTCTGCTTCACCTTCACTTCGTCCGAAGTAGACGGTGGTGGCGGGACAACAACACCGCGCTGCCGGGCCATCCTCTTCGCCTCTCTCAGGTTCATAAAGGGTTTGCCATCGGTAGATTTTTCCAAGTCTATTACAAGGACTTTCCTATGGTAGTTTCGATGGCAGCCGCAGGCTTCACAATGGGTACTGCTGATGCTGTTACCTTGGATGAACTCGGTGCAACCGTCGATCACGTAGCCGCCAAGTGAGCATGCATGGTTTCTCTGGCAGTCTCTGTAAATCTCTTTCTCCATCTCTTCTTCACTGATCTCTCTGCCGAGGGTTGAGACAAAAGCATGGAAACAAAATATTATATTGAGAGGACGTTACAAAAGCAGTAGATTCCTCTCATGAATGTCCGCAAAGTGGCACATTAAGGGCTAATGGGATAACTCTTACTGTCATACATTCTCGATTTCCTCGTGACGAGCCATTGGTGTAAAATGCAGCATTGTTACATTCTTCAAGGTCACTGCAAAGGCAATATCCGCGGCAGCAACCGCAATTTTAGTACTATGGCAATCCGTAACTGCTGCAAGCGTCCGATCATTGACGGTTGTTTTTCAATTTGGTTGAACAAATAAACAAACAAACAAAGAACTAAGCGTGGTTACAACTATCCAAAAGCTGATATAAAGGGACCCGTCACCTTAAATCTACTGTTTTATCTTCCCCTTTTTACCGACTACTTGAAAAAAATGAGTATATGGAAGAGGGCCGCCGCTGCTATCAAAGACAAGAAAAGCCTAATCGTCGCCTATTTTTCTACGAGAAGTTCCCACAGGGATCTTGATTTCGAGGCTGCCATTATCAAGGCCACAAGTCATGATGAATACGCCATCGGTAAAAGCCATGCGCAGATGGTTTTCTGGTGTATTCGAGCTTCTCCGAACAACATATGTCCTCTCATTCGGGTTTTGTCTAAAAGGATGGAGAAGACACGGAGTTGGGTGGTTGCCATCAAAGGTTTGATGCTCATGCATGATCTTATTCATTGTAAGATCCCGGCCATTAAAAATATGGACGGTTTGCCGTTCGATTTGTCGAGTTTCGGAGACGGACATTCGAGTTTAAGCAAAACATGGGGTTTCAATATTTTTATTCGTCAGTACTTTGCGTTTCTTGATGAAAGATGTGGCATTTGGCTCGAGGAAGAAAACGAAACTGCAAAGGATAGCCCATTGATGGTTCAGCAGCTTTCAAAGCTTCGAAAATTGCAGCTTTTGCTCGATATGTTGCTTAAAATTAGGCCTCCAGCCGATAAAATGAAGGTTTGCTTAATTCTCGAAGCCATGGATTGTGTTGTCATCGAGATCTTTGACATTTATGGTAGGATATGCAGTGAGATTGCAGAGGTCTTATTAGAAGTACAATCCGTAGGTAAACTTCAAGCATCAATGGCGCTCGAGATTCTTCGAAAGGTAACGATACAAGGCGAAGAACTCTCTCGATATTTCGAATTTTGCAAGGAATACGGTGTTTTAAAAGCCAACAAAGTTGTCACGATTACAGCGATTCCAGAGGAAGACTTCGAGATGTCCCTCGACTCCTCTTCCGTCAGGCTATCCTCGCACCACGTCGTTTGGTGCTCAATGGCAAAGGATACATGTATACATTTGTGGTGCAACAAGCGGATTGCCAACCACCACAGCTCCATCGATAACATTGCTGAGGAGTTCCGGTACACGAGCAAAGTGGAATCGGAATGCCAGAAATATCCATGTCATAACCATTGATTTTAATGTCCATGCACTTCTTTGCTGTCTTCAATCGTTCAACGGAAGAATTGGTATTATCCTTTGGCTTCCTAGGCTTTTTGGTCTTCGGCATCTCCGGAGTAGCCTCGCTCTGCCTTTTCTTCAACTGAACAATTTCCTTACTAGCCGGTGGCTCTTCAACTCAGCCAACCACCCTCTCATCTCTTGTTGAAGAATCGTGTGGGCTGTGGCGGCAGCGGAATTGGCAACGAATGAGCCACCGAAGTCTCCAAAAGAACGCCAAAGTCTGGAGAAACAACCGGTAACATGTTGAAAAGTTCTTCCCTCTGGCCAATCCATCTATTCTTAACATAATTCATGGGGATAGAAGCCTCTGAAACAACACGGTCCCAACCGGTAACATGTTGAAAAGTTCTTCCCTCTGGCCAATCCATCTATTCTTAACATAATTCATGGGGATAGAAGCCTCTGAAACAACACGGTCCCGTGATTGAAAGGCAGCATCGGGAGTTACCATATGTTGGAGAGTAAGTTTCAGCAGGAAGGTGTGCCAACTGGATTGGTTTGTTGCTGCATTTTATAACTGCTTTCTGTTAAGGTTGTTAGGTGGTTAAGCCAGCTGTATATTGGGTTAATCTCACAGTGGTTAAGAAACAACTTCACGACAAATTTTCATTAAAGGATCTCGGGCTTGTCCACTATTTTTTAGGAATTGAAGCCGTGCATACAACATCTGTATTTTTTTAAGTCAAAAGAATGTGGAGGAACTGCTGCACAAGTTTAATGTGCAAGCCAAACCAGTGGATACACCTTACCTATTACTCCTAAGTTGAGTTCAACACATGCTGGACCCCCTGTGAATGCTCAACAGTATCGAAGTGCGGTTGGTGCGCTATTATATGTGTCATACCAGACCAGATATTGCGTTTTGTTCATAAAGTTGCACAGTTTATGCAGTCCCCCTGTGAAGCTCATTGGATAGGGGTTAAGAGCATTCTACGCTATTTAAAAGGTACAGTGGATTATGGGCTCTGGTTGACCAAGGGTCAAAGCCAACTTCAGATAAAGGCGTTTACAGATGCGGATTGGGGTAGTGACCCCGATGATAGGCGGTCTGTTTCCGGGTCTGTGTTTACCTAGGCAGTCACTTCTGTCGTGGAGTTCACGCAAGCAAAGGTCAGTATCTCGATCCACGGCTGAGGCCGAATATCGCAGTCTTGCTGATACAACTGCTGAGGTTCTTTAGGTAAAAGTTGTTCTCGTTGACATGGGTGTTGAGTTGTCGCAAGCTCCAGTTATATGGTGTGATAATACAAGTACTGTTGCCATGGCTGCTAATCCAGTCTTGCATGCTAAAGTTAAACATGTGGACTTAGATGTTCACTTTGTTAGGGAAAAGGTCACGGACAAACAACTTGTCGTCAATTATGTTCCAGCACACTATCAAATTGCAGATGTGTTGACAAAGCCGTTAATTACAACTCGGTTTCAGGAATTACGCCAAAAGCTCAATGTGTTCTCATTGCAAAGACTTCAGTTGCACAAATGTTGAGGTTCTTTATGCTTGAAGAAGTTGAAAAGCAGGGTGAATGTTGGAGAGTAAGTTTCAGCAGGAAGGTGTGCCAACTGGATTGGTTTGTTGCTGCATTTTATAACTGCTTTCTGTTAAGGTTGTTAGGTGGTTAAGCCAGCTGTATATTGGGTTAATCTCACAGTGGTAACTCAGCAACCAGCGTGGCTATATTAATAGATCTTCGGATCAAGGCTAAATACATTTTTCGATTAGCCTACATTCTGTTTTTCCCTTTACTTTCTCTCCTTTTATTTCTGGTTTTTGAACTGTGTTCATAACAGTTTTAACACCATAAGATTCGGATCCGGCATAGGAATAAAAGATTTCGTGTCTCGATCCCTCATGCTTGACATAAGTTGCAGACCGAGATGTCTTCCACAGGAAGGCTCATAATAACCCCAATTATGCATGTTCAACGCATCGTCATCCATGAATCTATACATAGTCACCGACAAAGAACAGAAAGATAAAACTTTTAACAATGACTCACGTTAATCCATCCACAAAGACATATATTCGAATTAAAACAATGCTTCGAATAACCAGATCAAAATACAGTCAAAGGCAGATAAACACGGCATTCATAATTCAAAGGAATGTCTAATAATCCGTTTGGTTTCCGAGAAAACAAAACTCTCAATAGGAGAAAAATCCCCCGATGAGCTAAATTTCAAGCGGCAGCTTTCACATTTCCGCAGATCCAATATAAGGAAACAAAAGATCCCAATCCCCAGTTGATAAACATGGCAGAAATGGAAAAAATCTAGGATTCCCAAAGCAACATAAATGGAAAAATATACATGATCCCAACAGAAAATGGAAACTATCAGATTCCAACAAGTTTCCAATTCCCCACATTTCCCCAATGTCCATTCTTTACGTGCATCGGAACCCATTATCAGATCTACCAATACAGACAAAAAACCCCACAAAGCAGAAACTTGAAAAAAGAGAAAGTTTGGATTTTTTATGGCAGTTTCAGGGCTTTCAAAAATGGAGACTTTATAATCATCCTTAGATCTCCTTTCACAAATTTCACCTTCAAAAGCTCAAACAAACAAACCAACAAATTTAAAAACAAAATACATTTAATAGTAGTACAAAGAATAAGTAAAAGGCCCATATATTCAAAAACTGTTAGAAAGAGAAAGCAAAAGGAAAGAGAAAAAAAGGAAAAAGGATGTGAGAAGAGAAAATCTTAGAGAGAGAGAGAGAATATGATGTAAACGACTCTTTAGGGTCAGCCTTTTCTGAATAGAGATAAAGAGGGATAGAGGAGAGAGAAACCTGAAAGAGGGAAAAAATAAGCAATGAAAGAGAGAGGGGGAGAGAAGCTCCGAATATAGAGATTTGAGAAATATTTAAATTTGAGAAAATAATTTCGGTGATCTAAAACGTTTTATAATATACAATTTTAATTAATTTTTTTAGATTTACAAAATAACCAATAAATTCGCAATGCGAACTCTAATTTTACAACACAGTTTCTAAATTCGCAACTTAGTTTCTGCAATCGCAACGCGAATTTCTTTCTCGCAACGCGATTTCCAAATTCGCAACACAGAATTTCAAATTCGCAACTCGATTTCTGAATACGCAACGCGAATTTCTTTTTCGCAACATAAGTTTCTTTTTCGCAACAAGATTTTCTAAATCGCAACACGAATTTTGTTTTCCCAACTCGATTTTCGAATTCGCAATACGAATTTTAATTTCGCAACAGCTTTTATTTTCACAATACAAATGTTTTGGGCATATAAACTACGCAGCAGCAACAACTCATAACCTAAATCCTTAAATCGCAACTCATTTCATCTCATCTCTCACTCTCTCCGGCGACATCCGTCCTATATCCAACGACATCCTTCCCCATCTCTAATTTTTTTTACATAATTTTATTTCTATATAATTTTTCAATGATTTCTCTCCCAAATTATCAACTATCAACTTAATAAAGGTATGTTTTTCTCTAAGTTAGTGATGATATCTAGTTTATAGCTCGTTTGTTTAGTAAATTAATTTACAATTTATAGAATGAAATCATCTAATGTTGATCATGTTTGGATAGATTTGTGTTTTGGAGGGTCATGAGAGAATGTTAATGGTGTTTTACAATATATGCCTTTACCCATGAATCTTCAACTAAAACTGTCATTAAAAAAGTTAACTTATGAAACTCTAATGTTACGTGTTGCAAAGAAATTGAATTTAGAGCCTCTAAGTGGATTTAGACTATCTTATCAGAGAAAATGTAAAGTTTATTTGTTAACCGACAATGAAGATGTTGAACGATTCATTGCTTACATTAGTGTTTCGCAAGATGATGTTACATTGTATGTTGTTGAACCTAAAAGTAGTGAAGTTGGGTCAGTAGCGGGTAGTAATCAACTAAGTTCTTCAACCCCAGTTTAGGGTGCTCACATTGTACAACGTTGTTATCAACCTCAAAATTTAATGGTTCCACCACAATTTCATCACTAAGAAATTTTTTCCACCACATTTCCAATACCAAACACAATATCAAACATAATCTCAAAACCCACAATCTTTCCCTAATCCAAATCCCAATCAACTTTCAACACCAAATCCCGATTTAGACGATGATGAGCCAACAGAAAAAATTGTGAGTACTAGTCAGTATTCGAAAATTGATATTGGCCAATACCCAGACTTTGATCTTGGTCAATACTCGGATTTTGATGATGTTTCAGAAGAAGAAACAGACCTTGCGTGTAATGATTTTGATATTGGTCAATATCCGAATTTTGATGATGAAACAGCCACTGCCGAGGAAGATGTTGTTGATGATAATGAGGAGGAAGTTACGACTGTGAATGAATATGTTGGACATCCATTCTATAATTCATATAACCCTGAAGAAGAAAAAAAGAAGTCCCCGAAGAAAAGAAAAAGAAGAAAATGCCAAGGGAGTATAACTGAATATGCCAGAATTACTTCAGATATCGGAAGAAGAGTTGGTAAAGATATCAGTTGATTGTTACACAAAAGTTATTCGTATCAAGAAAGATGATTGTTTTTATACAAAAGAAGACTTGAAGGTAACTTTGTATACAAAATGTGTAGAATATGACTATCAACTAAAAGTTAACAAATCAAGCAAAGATCGTTTCGAAACAAAGTGTATGATTGACAAAAATTGTACGTGACGTATGATTATAAAGAGGATAAAAGATTGTGAAATGTTTCAAGTTAGGACTTTTATTGATAAACATACATGTTCAAGAAC